ATCTGAACATCAGTTCCTAACTCTGGAACAGAGGGATCTACATTTGGAATCACTAGAGAAGAAAGAAAAGAACAAGAACATGAACCAACACCAGGAATATTGGACTGGGAATTGGTGAGAAAAAAAAAATCAAGAACTGATGGAGGAGGAGATGGAAATATCTCAATTGTTCTGCATTTCCTTACAGCCCTAATTGCCCTAGAATTGTGGTTTTATCTCCTCTGACCAGGAGACTCCCACCGTCGCTCGTCTTTTCTCCAGGTGCTTTTGAACAGACTTCAGTCTGACTCGGTGACAAACCTCTTCAGCAGAAGAGCCGATATTTCCTTTGTCGTCCTCCTAAAACCCCAGTCGTCGACGTCGGCCGTTTATCACTGTCTTAACAGTTTAAATGAACACAATTCAACAGAAAAAAGAAACATCTTTTCAGGCTGATAATTGTGTCCAAAATGGCAGATTTCTCCACCGATGCTGTGAGCCCACACAGGTTAACAGGCCTGTCTCTCTCCTCTCTCTCTCTCTAAAGGGAGTAAACAATTCAACTACAGACGGTTTTCTACCTCCAGGCAGAGTTCGATGCCTGCGCTTCTTTTCTCCTGACCAAATAGCAATGGAGAAGGAGCAGGCAGTTCAAGAGTCACTGGGATTTTTTCACACTGCCATTGGAGACAGTCTCCCTTGTCCACAAATGTAAAGGTCATCGGCGGTGGCCCCCGGTGCAGTATCACTGCACGGGTGAATGTCATGAGTAAATTAAAATGCCCTATCTGTGACTTCCAGTCCGTTGGATAATGAGTAGTCGTACTCCGAGCCGAATCCATGCCTTGCTTCGCTACCCTATTGAGTTCAATGAGACCTTTTCCCTGCGTCATACGCCCGGTCCTAAGAAACACATCCAGCCGGGGTCGACTCGGCGAATAATGCATAAACTGACCCTTTAACCAGTTCTCAAACAGACGGCGTCGGTGCGAAGGACTCTTCCCAGCCTTCACTGGTTTCCAGTAGTATCATGTGGAGGAGTGTGTGTCCAGTAGAACGTGTTCCTCGCACTCACACACATCATTTACTTGTCTAGAATTAATCGTTACCAATTTTTTTTTTTTCAGCTAAAATAAAAGAATCTTTGTTCAGGTTTGGCCTTCTCTGTGGACCATGAGAGAATTTGTGTTTTTTTTTTTTTTCTCCTCTTACCCCCCCCCCCCCCCCCCCACGCGCCGCAGCACCAGCCTCCCTCCTGACGCCGCTCGGCTGTGGGATCGCTGGTTCAAGCACGCCCTTCTGCTTAAGCAGCATTGTGTCCTCAACACTGAGCGTTTGGTCCAGCTGTTCACGCCGCTGCTGCTGGGGCGCCATGCCTCCAACAGCCACCAGGTAGCGTCATAGGCACACACTCTACACACACACACTGAGACCAAGGCTGAGGAGATTACTACAGGAGATTTTTTTTTTTTTTTTGCCTTTTGTAAAAACTCTTCTTCTTTTGTAGAAGGGAAGCCGTTCGTTTGCTACGTCCTCTTTGTGTCGAGTGTTTGAAACCAAACCTTCGCTGATGATTCGACACATTATTCCTTACGTTGCAAAACAGACAGTTCCCTGGTTTCTATTATATTATTTACTTGAGAAAATGTATTTTTAATTCAGTCATCTGCATATAGTCGAACAACAGGAACGCGACAAAAGGAGACTTAAATGACCCTCTGCAGATTATGTCGAATATATAAACGTGATTGGCCCAAAAGTGACTCAAAATATAGTTAACAGAAAGGAGATTCTACATTGAAAAAAACAGACATAATATAATATATTATAAAAATGTATGTTAATTTCATTTTATATAAAAAGCGTACATTGCAAAACCGCCATTTCCCATTTCTATTATATTATTTACTTGAGAAAATTGAATTTTAATTCAGTTTTATTTAAAAGCCTAACGTCATCTGCATATAATCGAACAACAGGAACGCGACAAAAGGGGACGGGATTGTTTCACATTAAATGACCCTGTGCAGATTATGTCGAATATATAAACGTGATTGGCCCGAAAGTGACTCAAAATATAGTTAACAGAAAGGAGATCGCAAAAAACAGACACTGCTTGGCTATTCTTATTACATTATGTACCAAATATATTATAAAAATTTATGTTAATTTCATTTTATACAAAAAGCGTAACATCGTCTGCATATAGTCGAACAACAAGAAATGCGACCAAAGAAAAGGGAGAGGATTGTTTCAAAACAAATGACGTATAGTTAACAAATGAGATGTACCTTCGATACACGGTGAGGTATAAATTAGCTCACACGCCGCGGAGCGTTTGTGTTGTTATTATTATTGATACATTATTTAATTAATTTGGCCCCATCTTGGCGTGGTTCTTGTGGCTTCTTGTGTCGCTGGTGCAATAAGAGACGCAAAAGGAGGAGGAGGCTGTAGAGCCTCTTGAAAATATGAACCGACAAAAGGAAGAGATGAGCTACTATCTACATCATTGTGTCCAAGGGCACCGGGAAAAGCCTTATTGAAAACTCCCTTTATCTCTACCTCTCTCTACCTCTCTCTCTCTATCTCCATATTTTTCTTCCTCCCTCTTTTTTCACCAATTCCCACTTTGTTTCTTTCTTCCCTGCGACACAACAGCTCACTCTTCGCCGGCACACAAGTGAAAACCCCCCGAAATTTTCATTCACGTCTTGCGGCGCGGCCCCGGCTCCTCGCACCAAATGGGTGTGAGTGCGTGCAGCTCGCATGCACGCACTCAAAGAGGCCCTTTGAATATTCAAGTGCTGACAGTTGCATTCATTGATATTTAAAATGCAGTGGGTCTGAAAGAGCCTTCAGCCCTCAGCACATTTGACTGAGTCTATGAAAAAAAAAAAAAAAAAAAAAAAAAAAGGGCAGTTATCGGGGACAAGGATCAAGTCTTTTTTTTTTTTTTTACTAACTAACGGATGAGGCGAGATCGGCAGATGTGGAAATTAAAGCACGGCGGTTGTCAATCTTTACTGATAACAAGTTACAATGGACTCCGAGTTGGTGACTGTTGAAGTCCTCCTGATCATCAGCTCCCTAATAGCGCTCATTAAAAGTTAGAAATGGCCATTGGAGACTGAGAGAGAGGCTTTGATCACAACAGAGAGATAACGCTCGCCGGGGTTTTTGATATGTGGGAGGGAGAAGGAGTAAAAAGGAAATCGGTGTGTGGCATCTGCTAGCTCCTCATCTCTGAGAACGGCTCTTCTTAATTGTCTTTCCTCGTCTCCCTTGAGATGAAAATGAGCTGGAGAGGGAGGAAGAGAGCAGTTTGTCTCAGTCCTTTCAGCCGAGAGGGGACGATATGTGGAACGTGTTGCACATTAACGTCAGGGTGATTGCATTCTGTAGGCGCTTCTCTAATCTCATGGATGAGAGGAGAGGAAGCGAGAAAAAAGTGTGTGTGTGTGTGTGAGAGAGAGAGAGAGAGCAGGATTGAAAGTGTGTGCGAAAATTTTTTTTTTTTTTTTTTTTTTTTTTAAGTTAAACGGCTACGAATTTAAAGTTATTTTCCCCCCGTCCGTGACTCAGGCCGTGGCTGCAATAAATGAGTCGACCCAAATCGGCACAAGTTCAATTTGACACTCTGTTCACTAAATGGGAACAATTAAAATGTGGTTTTAATTCCGGCTGCTTTCAGGCCAGAGGGCTGCTGAGGACACTTCTGTCCCGGTCCAGTGAGGAGAGACCCTCAGCAGAGGACAAGAGCGACTTGTCTTCGTCGTGTGATTTGTTTCCTCTTCACGCTCGCAGCGATGTGAAACCTGCCAGGCCAATACAAAGACAACAGACCCCAGGTGAGAAGTCACTCATTAGGTCTGCTAGCACAGTTAGCTAGCTGCTACAGTTGAAGTTCACCAGGCCTTTGAAGGACCACTACCTGGAGCTGAGGGGGGGTGGGGGTGGGGGAGAGTATCATAATGCTTAAAAAACAAAAAAAAGTCACAAGTTGTGTTAGGATGTGGTGTTATTTTTGGGGAAAAAGGGACATTTTTTATTGCACCAAACCATTTTAGCATTGTTAGCTTATGCTCTTTTCAACCTGCTTAACTTAATTAACCTTCTTAATTACTCAAAGGGATTAATAAAGTTCTGTTCTGTCTATCTTATTAAAGTCTGTTCACAGCTAACTAGCTTGCTAACTAGCTTGGTTTTAGCATTTTTTTGGCTGATGTTTTTATTTTATAGTTACATTTACATGACATATTGTTATATATAGATCTTGTTTGTGTTGTGTTATATTTTTCTTTCCTTAATTTATTGAATTGAACTCACAAGGGGTTAATAAAGTTCTATCTATTACCTATTTATGGTACTCTCCGTCACAGTTAGCCACCTAGCTACGCTGGGTTATAGCAGGTAAACAGACTGTAATCTTCCCTTATCTTTGGTGACTTCAAATGTTAGCCTTTAGATCATTGGTTGTCCATTCACCTGTAAAATCTCTGGATAAATTATGTGTAAAAAAAAAAACCTAAAAGCTATTTTTGCACTACTTCTTATTTACAGAGAAAATTACTTACAACCACAGAACCCTTTTTTTTTTATAAATCTTTTATTGGCCAGTTTTCATATTCAGCCTCCTATTCAGAGCTAAAGAAAGACACCCACCCTCCCATTCCCCCCTCCACCCCCCCATTCCCATCTCCATCCCTAGCCTCGCTTCCTCCCTGCTCTGCTCCTCACTATTTTCGTCCCTTTTCTGACAGAACTACAAAGTGCTGAAGAGGACAGCCAGGACGAAAGCCCTGTGGAAAGTGTTCCTATTAGAGGTAAAAGGCATTGCCGGTGCCCCAGCATTCACACTGTCCTTATGTTGTGGTTTGTTTTCGCCCCGTTGCAGTGAATAATGGGCTCTTTTAAAGCCGGGCTGAGGCAGGATGATCAAGGTGAATCCAGGGTCAAATTCCCACCTGAAGAGCAGTACTAGTTCTCTCTAATTATCCCGGACAAAAACGCTAGCCGCGTCTTCATCCTTCATCCGTCCAAGGCATTCTGGCAAAATTCATCACTCGCCGGCCCCGGCATAATGCGTCTGCTTTAATTGTCAGGACGCCGGGGGTGGGCAGAGCGAGAGATCTGTCATTGCCTCTCATTATCTTCTAAACAATGCTGCGGCAAGGCCGGACTTGAAAAATGCTAGATGTGAAGGCATTCTGGGAGCTGTCGTGGCGTGTCCGCGCCTCGGCCGAACCGCTGAAATGTAAAGCAATCGTATATTACCCTTGACCATCTGATCCCCCGCTGGGCGTTTGTAGTCGGCATCCCTAAGGTGCAGAGATGGCGTCTAAAAAAAAAGAGTCCTGTTCCAGTCGCTACACTTAATCAAAAGAGCTACAAAAAATAAATAAATAAATAAAATGACTAAAGATGGTGGCAAGAAAAACAGCGTTGCTTTGCTGAGCCACATCAATAACGGCACCAAATACCATGACCTGAGAGAAACTGAGAGTAATTGCCCGGGACGGGTAATTGGTGGTGTTAGATAAATATAAAAAACCCTGGATAAAAAGTAGCACCGAGTTTCAGGAAATGAATAAAAGAATATTTTCTCTGATAAAAAGTTAAGATGTTAGGAAGGATGGCCAGTTCTGTCCTTTTGGATTTTTCTTTTTTTTTTTTCTCTACAATTTTAAGCGACATCATTGAGACAACAGCCCATTTATTATCTACTTCTGCTCCGCTGATTTTTTTTTTTTTTTTTTTTTTTTTTTTTTGCCAGCGCAGTCTCTGTGCACCTCTCAAATATGATACCTACTTTAGTGAGCCAGAAAGTAATTATGAGTGTTTCTAGAAGAGAAAATCAATCACGGGCTTCCTGCTGGGGGATGCTGAGATAATGCGAGATGCTGATTGCTGTCTCGTGGAAACTGTTGCTACATACTGTAGGCTCAAGTCAACACTCGGCTGATTGAACTCAGTGTGGTTTTTTTTTTTTTTTTTTTTTTTTAAACCCACTCTGTGACGCAGCCAGACCAAAAGTCACAGCTACTGAGGCGTGTTGTCTCAACAAACACAGAAAGTTGGAAACCTGGCTTTTAAGCAAATATTTGACTCTGTGTGTATGTGTGTGTGTGTGTGTGTGTGTCCTTGAACAGAAACAAAAGCGTATCAGTTACTTAAACAATCAGCCATGCAGAAAAGGCTGCAGAGCTCTGAAGAGGAGGAGGAGGAGGAGGAGGAGGAGGAGAGGAGCCTCTCAGGTGAGAGATGTGATCCACTCTGCTAAGCAACTAGCAAACAATAAAAGCCGAGTCAGCAGCATTTTACATTCTCGCGGCAAATTAGAGTTAAGTACGTTTACGTTCATTAACCGCAGCCGCTGTCGAAAATATGTCGTATCTTTTTTTTTTTTTCTTGGTTGATTTTCACAAGAATTACATACAACTTCCTTGGACCAACCCCTGGTCCGAGGACCGGTTCCGGTCTGTAGGTTATTTGGTACCGGTCCACAGTGAAAACTTTTACGTTTTCATTTAAAGATAATCTGTCAGTGTTTCAAAACAACAGGTCAAAGGTCATTCAGACTCTGATTCTGACAGAAGAAAGTCTAAAAGATGGTTTGATTTTGAAAATGTAATGATCCTTTAACGATGGCGTGGTAGAAGACGCAACATCTGTCTGCCATAACCTGACAGGAAAGCTCCGCAGCAGTGATTCTCAGCCACCAGAGTGCGATAATGTTCATCTACGCAACAGTGACAGGAAGAACAATTCAATGCTCTTCCACTAGGGGGTAGAGAATGTTTATAAAAACAGCAGGATAAAAAAAAAAACAAAGAGAGTGACTCGCCGTTGCCGTTGAAGAAGATTTTGTTGCGTGTCTTTCTTCAATTCCTGCAGGTACAGTGTTGTGTTCAACTAAACAGGCGAGTGGCGCGCCGCTAGCGTTTTCTCGTGTAAAATGTACCGTGGCTCAAAAAGCCGTGCGTCGTTAAACAGCCCATAATGACATTTACAAATCAAATGATTTTATCTGTCCCTGTTTGCTCTTTTAAGGAACAAATCGTGGCCATGAAGTGGACCTGGGGAGGGACACACGCTCCTCACATCAAGACCCTTACCCCTGGTAAGAACATTGTTGTTATTCACCAGGCCACAGGAAATGGGCCACCAGACACCAAAGTGGTTGACGTACATTTGCATGGATGCTCTAATAATTCCCCTGTTCATTTCCATAAGATCAATTGGGCGCCGCCCATTAACTGGCTGACAAAGACAAAAGGCCTCCAGAGCCCCCGCTCACTCACGGTGCGCGGCGGGTTGAGGGAGGTTTTGTGAAATCAAAAGCAAAACATCCATCACAAAAACAAATTGGAGTCATAATTTCCGTGGCCTTCAGCCTAACTGTCAGAATGCAAACAGTTCACCTCAAGAAGAGAACGGAGGACAACTGTTTTGGAAGAAGGGGGCTCGAGTGTTGACGAGGACAAATGTCCGTTGATTCTTCACCCTTCAGACACATTTAGTCTGTTCGAATCAGAGCCGTAAGTGGGCCCCGGGAAAGGAGCGGCTAATGATAAATAGCTCGGTGGAAGCTAACGCCATCAGGCTCGCATTTGAATATCAACACGACTTCATCAAATCTGCAATTGCATGTCGGGTCCTCAGAGCACCTCTTCACTGCGAACCCATTCGGGCTGTCGTAATGGCTAGGTAAACGTTATGAGGAATAATCTTCTCTGATTTCATCTGATTACTGGGCGCCACGCTGACACAAAGCCTGAAGCCTGTGTCTCCCCGGGCCGGCGGGCGGCCTCTCCCAGTCTGCCTATTAGCCCAGGGAAGGGCCTAATGGTCTGGATCTATTTTGGACCTCATAGCCGCCGGTGTCTGCCGCTGCTCGTCCCGGTGGCCGCGCTCTTTAATAAACATGAGACAATTTTGGGGCCCACACTTTTTTCAGACGTGTCTGTCGATCCGTCATTACTGGCCACGGGAGGCGCAGAGTACGTGGAATTAAAGAATACAGTTCAACAACGCCGGCAGTTGTACTCGTAAATCTGCACAGTCGCAGGTTGTGGTATTATTAGTCGTAATAATTTCTCACCTCCCGATTCCTGTGAAAAGACACATCAGAGGAAGTGTTTTATCGAGGGGCCGTCCAAGTTAATCAGAAAATTAAATTAATAAAAAAAGAGTTAAATATATATTTCAATCCACCTAGAAAATTAAATTAATAAAAAAGTTAAATATATATATAAGAGTTAAATATATATTTCAATCCACCTGTAGTTGCTCTAACACACATTTTGCTCAAAAAATCATTACAAGTACAAGACAACATTAACTGCTTCCTCAAAGGTCGGGGTAAAGGCGTGAGGGCTCTGTTTAACAATAAACAACATCTAAGTTTATTTTAGTTTCCTGAGTTTTAAGTGAACTAACAGATCGACTGTCGCTGTCGAAGTTAGCTTCATTTTGGTAATGGTGCTCAATGAACCATCTGTGGCAAACTCAGTAAATGAGCTGCGACAGGATGACATTCATGGACAGTCGTGATGTCATGCAGTGTCATATTTATATAATGAGCGTAGCTTAACACCGTCCTCATGCTATTCCCGAAATGAAACCGACTTCAACAGCGTTGTTTACATTTTTAGTCACATAAATCAACATTGTTCTGCACATAGAGAAATAAACCAGCAGGAGCAGCAGAGGTGAGGGAACAGTGGATGTCAACGCTGTTAAAAAGAAAACCCTAGTGGAGACATTTGGTAGTACAGAAGCGCTCAGTCTGAAAGTTCACAGGTTCCTTTTGTTTTTTTTTACATTCTACCATTTGAACAACAAATAATAGAAACATAAAGTAGTTTTTTCACCACAGTCCTTTAAAACATGTCGTAAGTAGGGATGTCCGATATTAACTGTCCCATATGCTGATATTGTCCAAACACTTAATTTCCGATTCCGATTCATTCTCCATACAATCCCATGATTATTAAAATACATTAATAAAATGAGCTGCAATGCTGCCATCTAGTGACTTTCACATTCATATACAGTCGTTTTTCCCCAAAACTATTTTTTAGGTCACACATCATTTGTCGAAACCCAGGCATTGCGTTATCGCGTTTTCATTATCGGAGGAAAAACCGATAACGATTCTTACAGATATAGCATAATTATGCTAACATCGGGCCGATAAAATATGACATGGTTTTTATATATATATATATATATATATATATATATATACAAGATTTATATCCGGAATATAAAAAAAACAGTGTAGCATATATTTACTCTCCTCTCCCTTTTTTCTCTCACCCCCTTGCTTTATTTTGTCAGCGAGCTGATGAGTGACATCAAAAGGGAGGACGGAGCCCAACTCCAAATACAAAAAATGGCTTCTTCTCTGTCGTCTTACACCATAATTATGATGTTGCCGGTTTAAGCCCCGTCCACAGCGGAGGGATTGTGGCTTAAAGCAGAGGCTTTGGTGCAAAAACTGCATTTATAGCCCTTTGTGAAGCTCCTCATTATGTGTGTGCCCGATTCATTAAGTAATTGGTTTGCAGTTGTTTACATGAGTATTAAGGCCTTCTATTCAGGGCCTTTGAGAGATACATTGTGCAAATGTTGCATGTTATGAATGCAGAATGAGAGGCGGGGGGCCGGTCCCATTGGCTAAACACTGCACTCGGCTGAAAGGCGAGAGAAAAAGCAGCGCGGCGCTGCTTTGCATAGCAATGACTGGGGCCTTAATAAGCTTTACAGATTAAATACATGCAGTCTATGCACCATGCAAAGAGATACTCTTAACACATTTATATGTGCTCATTTCACTATTATGGCGTCGGAGAGAACTGAGGTCTTTTTTTGTCCTCTCTCTCTCTCTGTCTCTCTCTGTCTCTCTCTCTCTCTCACAGACACAGACGCTCAGTGTTTTTTTTCTCCCCAGTTTGATACTGTTACAAAAATGTGCAGTTTTATTACGTCGTCATCTGCGATCTGCAATATATTTATTAAGGATTTGTCCATTAGGAATCTTCTTTCGCAGCCTTTGTGTGTGAAGTAAAATCACTTTATGGCTGAGTGCGGATGAAAGGAATAATGCACCGAGGAGTGAGTCTTAATAAGCAGCTGCACTCCATGTAAAGACCACTTGTTCCCCTTTGTATCCCAGTGCATGCCACTGCTTCCTCTGGTGCAAAGCATCATTGTGCTCCTTTTCTACTGTAGGCATTTCAGTCTCCTCCTTTTCTTATTCAGCTTTTTTATCTCTCTCTCTCTCTCTCTCGTTCTGCATTTTGTGATCTTAAAAAAAAAACAAAAACACAAAAACAAACAAACATGTACAGAAAAACACAGGCATGGAAGCAGAAATCCGTGGCGCCGTCAGCAGTGCCGGTGCACTGATTGTCGTGCCTAGTGCCTGCTTGACAAAAACCTTGACTCAACAATTAGCGGTTTACAGCCCCGCGTTAGACAACAGCGTGTGCTCCAGCGTTCGACCTCAAATCACTCTTGTGTTAAATCAGAAGCTCTCCCAGGTGATGTTTGTGGATCCCTGGCTGCTCACTGGGTGGAGGTGGAGGGGGGTTGAGGTGGAGGTGGGGG